ATCAAGCGGGATTCCTGTGTTGTGTACACGCCCGGACGGACGGACGGAAGTGACGTCAGCCAAACCATGAAAAATCAACTCGATGGTTTACCATTTTGTAAAGTATGGGGCTCCGCTATATTAAGAACAAGAATATATTCAAGAAGCATTCATTACCGAAGTGTTTTAAAGAGAGGTCCTGCAAATGCCAATAATTGCTCTCTAATGAGCAATATCTAGAACAAGATTAAATAGTGCATTCCGAGGACCAAAGGGCACTGTAGGTGTCGTTAATTTGAAATAAAAAGTAATGTCGTTAGTATAATATTGTTTCAGATGAAATACACTAAGAATAGAAAAAATAATTATTATTAATTCTTCTTTAGGCAATGTCACTATGACCCACAATGCACTTCGCTCTTGGAATGCACCATTCAGTATTACATATTCAAACTTTTTGAAATAGCTGTATATATAAAACATATGATTTATAAGTGCTTAAAATATGTCTACAAAACATACGTTTCCAGACGTGCGTCTCTTTATCAGTGTTCAAGTCCTATCGATATACAATATATATATAATATATAATCGATATATAATATATTTTGTGGATATACATCAGAAAATAGCATCTATTCTACTATCTTATCTTGTGAACGCTTACTGTGTACTGCTTCTCTTCTCTCGTCTGATCCCACCCATGAGTACCTTGTTTATTATGTCCGTGTAATGTTCCCGTGTATTGGCTAACCTTGTCTTGTGAACGCTCACTTTAATGCACACTTAATCTCTTCTCTCGTCTGATCCCATCCATGAGTGGTTACAGCCTTGTAGACTTCCATCACAAGATTTGGAAAATATTCCAAGAACACAAACTGTTTCAGCAACTGATCTTGAATTGACTTTGGTAATGCAGTCACATGTGCGTAAGCATTTCGTATAAGGCGCACCAACTCTACGACAGAGTGAGTATCATACTTTCTCTTTTTACGCATTTCCTTGTAAATATCAGGCATATGTGCATTACCTGGGTAATTCCATTTCACATGCTTCACTATGGTACCAAACCGTGCTTCCAACTCAGTCTCAACAGCAGACATAACAACTGATCTCCCAGCACGAGGATATTCAAATTCTGGTTGATTGCCAACAGCTACGAGCAGATCAAGCTTTTTCTTCCTTGCCCAGAAAAAAAGATGATCCAATGCTTTATCTGCAGATGGCCGTTTGCTTTTATCTCCATCAAGCATTGCTTTAAGGAGATCAGCTACTTCAGGGCACAGAGAGTCATCCCATCCTTCCATGTTGCCATTCAATATATTGACTTCAATCTCGTGTTGCAGTGCACCTATTCGGGGGGCAAACGGATGTTTTTTCATTGACAAAATGTAATGAAGAAGGAGACCACAGGCAAACACATCAGATGACTTAGAATGACTTTTTGTAGAAGCTAGCACTTCTGGAGCAATCCAACATCTTGTACCAACATTAGACCCATACACCGAGGTTCTAGAACCAGTGTTATCCATACGACGGCTGAGACCAAAGTCGGCAATTTTCAAGCATAGTTTGGGATGAGTTTTATGAAGAATGTTGCTTGGCTTGAGATCTCGATGAACGATGCTTTGATAGTGTAGGAATTTCAGTCCTTGAACTATATCTTGGCAGAGCGAGACTTTAATTTCCATTTTCGTTGCAGTATTAAGGAACTTGTCAAGATTTCCCTCCATCAGTTCCAAGATAATGTAAGAAAAGTTTTCGTCTTCAAAGAAGAACAAATAACGAACAACTTGTTCGCAGTCTGCAAGAGCAGTGAGATTTGTTATTTCTCGTTTKTCTTCTGGTCGCTGCATACGTATCTTCTCAATACGTTTGATGGCCACCTCTCTTCCATCTTTCTCGTGTATGCCTGCAAACACAGCACCAAATGCCCCGCTTGCCAAATAGTCTTTGTGGTACCAGTACGGTTTTATATACGTGCTTTGCCTTCCTCTTGCTACTTTGGCCAGTTTGTCTTTTTKCATCTTTGAAATCGATTTCCATGATTTAATCAGTAAGGGAATTTTATCAATATCTATCGGCTTCAGGAATAGTTGTTTAAGTTGAGGGCATCCTTCTGCTATGTCCAAACAGGACTGACCACTGGAATCGGGAATGCTATAGTCAGCTTCGTATAGGAGAAGATTTTCAGCAATCGCCCAGTGGACATCATCGACATCATGTGCATTCCTGACGATATTTCTGCAGCAGAAATGGAGTGGTGAATCTTCTCCATTCCTTCCTAACACCAAACACTTTCTTGATTGTAAGATGATTTGAACAAGGTTAATTTTCTCTTGAGCACTTGTTGATTTGTCTTTGCATACGACACAAAGAAGAGAAAAGATGATATCATAACCAGAATCAAGGTGATTGTTGTCTTCACACACAAATTCAATCATGCCTTTTGCAAGGTCGAAGGATTCTGCTGCAATCAAAATACTCATCACAGATTCACCATGTTTGTCAACAGTCCACGGATCAAGACCTTTATCAAGAAAGACCGTTTTCCAAAAATCTTTTGGTTGTTCTAAGACATCTGGGTAAAAATATCCAGGATTTAGAAGAGGCTTCATGTTTGCAGCTGCAACAAGAAGAGTTGAACGTCCAGATGAATCCACATCGTTTGGGTTCGCTCCAGCATCCAGCAAAAGTTCAACAGCAGTCCATGTTGTGCAGAGATGTAGAGGTGTTTCCCCATTTTCATTTTTGACATGCAGTAGTTTTTTGTTTTCTCTGAAATGGTCCAAAATCATTTTCAAAAGGCCTCGGAAGGTATGTCCTCCACTAATATTACTGGAGTAATTTTGTCTTGGTGCTAATTTCAGCTTTGCCCAAAGATGAAGTGATGTGTTTCCATGTTCATCTTAGGTATTCATAGAAACTCCTCCTCTCTTGAATGCATCAACAAATACTTCCAGTAGCTCTAGGGCAACATCAGAAACGTCCTTTCTCGATTGACTATTACGTTTCAAAAAGCCATGTTGAAGAAGTCTTATGATCAAGTGTAACACAGTCTCTCCACTGCCAGTTTTTGCTTCAACACTGGATCCATGTTCTACCAGGAATCGACAGACAGCTGCTTGTGTCTTGACAGCTGACCAAGGTTCTTCCTCTATGGATACCTTCTCGATTGTCCTGGCTAGACAATATAAAAGTGGCGTTTCGTTTTGGTGATTCGTTATGTGGAACGATACATTAAACTTTTCTAGCTGTTCACATATTTCCATGACAGTTTCTCGTGTTACACAATGAAATGCTAGTTGAGTTGCATAGTGAAGAGCAGTGTTGCCATCTGAATCTGTGGTGTTTGGGTTGGCACCCAATTTGATAAGACGTCGAAACACTTCAACTGCTGCTCCGGACTCAATCCGTTGTTTATCGTTGCTGTCTTCATGGATCATGGTGGAGATCTCACTTATGGTTTTGATTTTCCCCACAGGAAACTTGACTTGAAAAAACTTAAAGTTTGAAGCATTTTCATTTGCTATCCTCATTAGCTGAGAAAGATAACCCACGTCAATATCACAAGAACCAGGCCTGAAGTAAAGCGTTTTACAGAATGCAACACTCGCTATAGCTCCCAAAATTGTGTTTCTTTCCACCTCTTTGCAGTCAGACAGGAGATTGAGTCCATCTTGCAGGTTTGATGTTTTTTGTGATAAATTGAAGATACAATTCTCAATAAAAAATGTCAAAACACTGCAATTCTCATTGAGATGTAAAGTGGCTCCTTTGTCAAGAAAATACCTCGCAAGGGAAAGCGATTGTGTCATAGCTTAGAACAGTGGCGTTCTGCCATAACGATCTTTCGCATCCACTTGAGCACCTCCATTTTTTAACAGTGTACGAGCCACAGTGGTACACTCCAAAGGGTTACGATATATAACATAAAACAAAGCAGTTTTCCCCTCTTCATCAGTTATGTTGACATCAGCACCAGCCCCAATCAATGAACGAACCATGCTTTCATTACTTTGTTTAACAGCATGAAACAAAACCGTTTTGCCATCTTTAGTAGCATTGACATCAGCACCACACTCGATTAGTTTTTTCACTATTTTTTCATTGCCTTTCTCTACAGCAAAAAACAAAGGAGTTTTGTCATATTTATTGGTAGTATTGACATCAGCACCACACTGGATTAGTTTTTCCACCAGTGTTTCATTTTCTTTCTCTACAGCAAGAAACAAAGCCGTTGCCCCATGTCTATTGGTTGCATTAACATCAGAACCGGACTGGATTAGTTTTTCAACTATTTTTGCATTTTCTTTATTTACAGCATGAAACAAATCAGTTTGGCCATATTTATCGACTGCATTGACATCAGCACCACACTGGATTAGTTTTTCCACCACTTCTTCATTTTCATTCAGTACTGCAAAAGACAAAGCAGTCAATCCTAGTATATTGTTTGCATTAATATCAGCACCACCCTGGATTAGTTTTTCCACTATTTTTTCATTTTCTTTCTCTACAGCAAAAAACAAAGGAGTGCAGCCATCTTCATTGGTAGCATTGACATCAGCACCACAATGGATTAGTTTTTCCACTATTGTTTCATTGCCTTTGTTTACAGCATTAAACAAAGCAGTTTTGCCATGTCTATTGGTTGCATTGACATCAGAACCGCACTGGATTAGTTTTTCCACTAGTTTTTCATTTTCTTTCTCTATAGCAAGAAACAAAGCTGTTGCCCCATATGTATTGGTTGCATTGACATCAGAACCAGACTGGATTAGTTTTTCAACTATTTTTGCATTTTCTTTATTTACAGCATGAAACAAATCAGTTTGGCCATATTCATCGACTGCATTGACATCAGCACCACACTGGATTAGTTTTTCCACCACTTCTTCATTTTCATTCCGTACTGCAAAAGACAAAGCAGTCGAGCCACGTTTATTGGTTGCATTAATATCGGCACCACACTCGATTAATGTTTGGACCACTTCTTCATTTACAACATTAAACAATGCAGTTTCGCCATCTTCATCGGTAGTATTAACATCAGCA